CCCTGCTGCTCCATTTCCAGTCCAGCTTCTGGCTGTCAGTACCCACTGGCCCGCTGTACCTGGGTCTCTGCCATCCTCGTGGAGACCCTTGAGTTGGGGCTCCGGCCGCGGCCTGGTCCAGCTCTGGCTGTTGCATATATAGGAGGGATGAACAAACAAGTAGATCTCTTTGTCTCTCCCTCTTTCCCTGACAGTTTGCCTTTCAAATAAATAAATCTAAAAAAAACCAAAAGAACCTTAAACTTTTCAGCTTCAAAGCACAAGTCTAAAATAAATTACACAGTTCAATTTGAAACCATAAGACTCAACTGTCCTATTCTCTACTGTACCAAATACGTTTAAATACTGTAAGTACATTGGGAAACAAACACACAGAATACCTCAACCTCCCCAAATCTTTTCTGTAACATTTTCTTTTTTTTTTTTTAAGATTTATTTTTATTATTTTTTTTTTTATTGGAAAGGCGGATATACAGAGAGGAGAGACAGACAGGAAGATCTTCTGTCCAATGATTCACTCCCCAAGTGAGTGCAACGGCCGATACTATGCCGATCTGAAGCCAGGAGACTCTTCCGGGTCTCCCACGCGGGTGCAGGGTCCCAAAGCTTTGGGCCGTCCTCGACTGCTTTCCCGGGCCACAGGCAGGGAGCTGGAAGGGAAGCGGGGCTGCCGGGATAGAACCGGCGCCCATATGGGATCCCGGGTGTGCAAGGCGATTAGTTAACCACTTGCGCCACCGCGCCGGGCCCTGTAACATTTTCATAAGAGAAGTAGCATTATGGGCTTATGTCGTCATTTCTATTTTTCTTCCCAAAGTGGGAAAGTACTTTCTGTTCCTGTTTTCCTTGCCAGGGCTTTACAATCATCTTATTGATTTGTCTCTGCAGCTAAAGAAAAGTCTGTGACTACCCTTCTAAATTTAAACGGAGATTTGAACAGAACTAATATCTTTATTATTTATGCAAAGAAGTCAAGTTAATACAGGTAAGCCAATGGTGCAATTGTTCTTGCATCGTGTGTTTTCTTTCTTTGGTGTGTGTTTATTTTGCTTCTACCTGTACTTGTATTTCATCTATAAAATGGACATAATCATTCCATAGTGGTTCTCTCTGACTTGGAGGTCTGTGATGCCAACATGCGACACCTGTCACTAGTCTTCCACACAGGTTTATTTCCTCCTGCCTCAGAGCTCAGATTAATGCTGAGAGATCCCCCTGTCTCTTCTTTTCCACTGTAGGAAGATGTGTATTTGAAAGGCAGTTTGTGATAAAGGAGAAAAATGTCTTACTTTGGCCACATAGCTTATGTTGCTAAAGACAGTATTAGCAGGTTGGGGACCAACAGAAGATTAACAAAGTGTGTTCTGATTTTCACTTCCTCTCCTGCTTTTCTCTGATTGCCATGGAAACAAGCTTAGTCTAGGGGCCAATGTGCCAAAATCAGTGTAAGCTGCCACCTGTGATGATAGGAGCTCTGGTTCAAGCCCCAGCTGTTCTACTTTCAATCCAGTTCTAGCTATGTACCAGGGAAAGCAGTGGAAGATAATTCAAGTGCCTGAGCCCCCACCACTTCTGTGGGAGAACCAGATGGGTTCCCAGGCTCCTGGCTTTGGTCTGACCCAGTCCCAGCTGTTGCAGCCCATGGTCATAATGGCATGCATCTTTGAGACATACTGGAATGTGTGTGAGTGTGTTGTACCCAAGAGCAGAACTGTCCGATTTATTACACTGGTGACTCTAATTGTTCTCCACTCTGTGTATCCTCTGAAAATAAAAGGAAAATTCTGGGCCTGGCGCCCTGGCTCAATTGGTTAATCCTCCCCCTTCAAGCACCAGGGTCCCATATGGGTGCAAGTTTCCATTCTGGCTGCTCTGCTTCCTTCCTTCCTTCCTTTCTTCCTCCTTCCCTTCCTCCTTCCCTTCCTCCTTCTCTCTCTTTCTAAGATTTATTTTACTTTTATTGGAAAGTCAGATATATAGAGAGGAGGAGAGACAGAGAGGAAGATCTTCCATCCAATGATTCATTTCCCAAGCAGGCCACAATGGCCAGAGCTATGCCGATCCGAAGCCAGGAGCCTCTTCCGGGTCTCCCACGCGGGTGCAGGGTCCCAAAGCTTTGGGCCGTCCTCGACTGCTTTCCCAGGCCACGGGCAGGGAGCTGGAAGGGAAGCGGGGCTGCCGGGATTAGAACCGGCGCCCATATGGGATCCTGGGCGTGCAAGGCGAGGACTCAACCACTTGCGCCACCGCGCCGGGCCCTATTTTTTTTTTTTAAGGAAAATTCTGATGAAAGCCACTTAGCAAGAGCCTTTCAGGATGCAGTCAGGCAACCCTTGGGCAAATAGGCCTTGTGCACGGACCCAACTGCCACCCAGGGTCAAATGGGGTCACGCCTGCCCTTTGCCAATGGCTTTGGAATGACCTTCAGAATGTGTATGGGAAGGTTGCAGGGCGGCCTCCCTCTTCCCTTTGGACTCTCCCCTTCCCTTTGTCTGTCCCTCTCTTTGTCTTCTACTTGTCCTTCCTTGGGGAACTCCTGCTCCAGGCTTCGGCCTGGCCCACCCTGGTCGTTGTAGTCATCTGAGGAGTGAATCAGCTGATGGAAGATCTCATTCTGTCTCTTCCCCCCTGTCTATAACTCTGCGTTTGAAATAGATAAATCCTTCCGAATAATAGAACAAGTCTTTGAAAATGGAAGTGAGGACCGTGATTATACAGCAGTTTTGAAAACAGAACACGGCAGAAAGTTGTCATGCACCTGCCTGCTCTCCACCAGTTATATTAGTAATGCCACAAATACCAGAGCTGAGTCATCAGGGGCTCTGCTGCACGTGGGGGTGCCGAGGTCTCAGGGATCCAGGAAGTGTTTGAATGAGTGACAGCAAGCAAGGTTTCCACTGGTCTCCTGCTTAGAAGGACTGGCTGGCCCCAGAACCAATTCCGAGACAGAACTGCGACTCACACTAGGTTCTGCCTGTGAGTGAGCAGATGGGAGGCCCTGGCCAGAGTCAGCCTAGTGGCCTCAGGGTCCAACGGGGAGTCTCAGAAGGTTCCCTGGCAGGGGAAGAATTCACCTGGGATGGTGAAGGATAGAGCAGCTGGGGGAGCTGTGCAGTGGCCAACCCTGAGAAAGGTGGTGTGGGAGGTACTCTGGATACCCTAAGGTTTGTGGCACCTCCTCAGGGCTCATGCCTGCCTGATAGACTTGGCATTTGGGCAGCCCACTACCCTTCTCACACACAGTATGATGGCAGTGTTACCAAGGTTTCTGGAAACCTCTTGCTTTTTCAGCAGAGGGGCTGACCAGGCTCCCTAGGTCCAGCTTAGGGCCTCTCCTGCCCTTGTTTCACAGTATCCAACACCACGTGCCCAGCATGCCCTGGGTGGGGTGGCCTGCTTGAGCCTTGAGCAAGACAGTGGCCACACTCATAAGGAACTCCAATTGAATGCCGTGCCACAACACTCACACCCACAACCATCATTCATCATTAGCACATCCAGCTCCCTGCTTGTGGGCTGGGAAAGCAGAGGATGGCCCAAAGCCTTGGGACCCTGCACCTGTGTGGGATACCCGGAAGAGGCTCTTGGCTCCCGGCTTTGGATCAGCTTAGCTTTGGCCACTGCAGAGAGACTTGGGGGAGTGAGGACAGAACCTGAAAACTCTGAGATGAGCCCCCCCAAGTGCCAGCTCTGGAACTGGCGAATTTTGAGGGCCTGCAGGGCCCGACTTCTTTACAGGACCCCCACAGTGCTTCTGCCTTTCCTAACACCTCACCCCCGGGAACTGGAATGCACCTGGATAAAAGAATGGCGTGGCCAGACTAGGGACAGGAAGAAACCTTCCGGGACGCCTCGAAACCTCCAACACAAAGCTCCCACTTGCTCCTTAGAAAAGCACTAGGAGCTCCACTGCGCATGCTCTGCTCTTCTGCGCGCGCCGCTGCCACTCAAAACCAGGAAGCCCCGCCCACGAAAGGGCACGTGACGTGCGCGAAGCGGCTGCGGCCATTTTGGACTCAGGCAGCCCGCGCTCCTTCTCTCATCTGCCCGTCCTGCCATCCGTACCGGGGCGGAGGTGGCTACCTGAAGAATCGAACGGACAATCGCATCTCCTCAGACCAGTGTCGGACCCGAACGGCTCCACCGTTAGACCTCGAGCTAGTGCCCTCCCGAAGGCACCCGTTTCCTTATGTGTGATGTGGGAGTTTGAGCATCCGGCACCCCATATTGGGGCATCGATGGCAGAGTCCCCGCGTGTCCCGGCACGTGGTCCTCAACGTGGTCCCAGCTTTTCTCGAGCACTTGGGGTGCCTTGTAGCGGCCCCCTCTGCAGCTGTCCGTCTGTCACCCTGCTGGTCCCCGCTGCTTGCAGCTGCCAGGGAACTCTTGCGGGAGTGATGAACCAACAACAGGGAGTGAGAAAAGGAAGTTCGCGAGTCCTATGGGGTCCCCATGTGACTGTTGGAAGGGTGTCAGCCACGCAGACCAGGGTGTCCAAACCTGACAGGACTGGATTTGGGAACATTGCAATGCCCTCGTGCTTGTTATTTTGATCACCCCTGACTGCCATTCCACAGGGACTCCCAGGCAGGCTGACTGCTAGAATGAAAACAGCCCTGTGTGTGTGTGTGGCTGTGGGGACCTTAGGAAGGAGTGGCTGGGACACTGTGTCCCAGCTACAGCTAGTGAAGCCAGGAGGCAGAGGTCTTTCTGCAGTGTGGGTGGTGGCCCCAGGAAGGGAGGGGAAGTGAGGCCGGGTCCAGGTGGAGTTGTTGGGGGACAGGAGTTCAGGTACCCCAACAGAGGTGGGAAGTGGGTGGAGCAGTGGTTAGAGGAAGGGCCCAAGTCTCACAGCTGGAGCCGAGGACTGTGGCTAGCCTCGAGGGACTCTGAGACCCAGCGTGCCACCTTTCCTGGGAAAAATGACAGGCGAGTGGCAGGCAGGTCCAGGTCCCTGAGGCCTTATGGAAAGGGAGCAGAAGACACAAAACAGTGGCAAATTTGGGGGGGCGGAAATGCACAATTTATTTCGAACAGAGGGGCAGAGAGTAACAGGCAGGCTGCATCCCCTTCCCTGCTTTTTGGCTTCAAGACCCCTTCTCCCCTCACCCCCACCTCCAGGAGTGGCCTATGCAGGTGAGGACTGGGGTCGGGGGTAGAGTTCAAGTATTCACAGTTCCCCTGTCCACACCCAGCGATGACACGGTGCTTGGATCCCACCTCTGGGGTTCTGTCTGATGTTCAGGGTCCCTCTCCAGATAAACCTTGTACCCCACTTCCCTGTACTGACAAAACAAGCCCTGGCCCAAGCAGTACGGATCAGCAGTGTCCTGTCCCCGGGACAGTGGAGCAGGCCCTTCATGGGCAGTGAATGATGGTTTGGCTTGAGAGAGAGGGGTGATCCAGAAAAGGAAAGAGCTGAGACCCCTGCGGCAGGTGTGGGACCCAGTGGATTCCTTCAGACAGCACCGGGGTGCACTGACACCTCCCACTCCCCAAGCTCAGATTCCCTGAGAGTCCAGCACTGTGGGGTGGGAACAGGGCGGAGAGCTGGGTGAGCAGCTGGGACCCCAGCTCTCAGAACCCACCCTTCCAGGAGAGCTGGATCCTGGGGACATGGGGGAGAACCACTGACCGCTCTGCCCGGGATGTCCTGACCTAGGGCAGAGTGGTGGGCTCGGGGAGGGCTCTCTCTAGAGTATTATAAAAAGCTAAAAACCATTAAAGTGGTTTACCAGCCTCTTGCCCTGTTGCCCTCCAGACAGGGCTAAGGGGTTCCAGCGGGCTGGGGGAGAAGGCTCTAGCCCCTCTCTGACAGGCCCATTAGCACCATGCAGTGTTGGGGCACCTCTGCAGCTGGACTGGCCCCTGGCAGGGCCCTCTGATGCTGGAGTGCCCACCTGCTAAAGCTTCTGTACTGGAGGAGGGACCCCTGAAGGGGAAGGGGAGGAAACTTGATTTCAATCCAGGCGGGGGTGTCAGCCAGGACCCCAGAGGGTCCCCGCTGGGAGTCATGACTGGAAAAATCTCCGTACCACGAACTTGCAGAATAAAACCACAGCCAGGGCCACCACCATATACCGGAACGTGTCGTTGCCCAAGCTCAGGGCTGCCACCTGCCAGGGAAGACAACACCCTTAGTCAGAGAGAGGGAGGGGCTGGAGGAGCGGGAAAGTTGTGGCATTTCCAGAGGGTACTCACCCAGCCGCCCCGTTGCGCGATCCACTGGGCGATGTGGCGGTCCAGGATGATGCGGACCACAAAGCTGGTCACCTGGCCCAGAAAGCCTGTCAGGCCGCGCTGGTAGATGTGTTGGGCCAGGCGGTAGCCGAAACTCAGGAGGGCCACCACTCGGCCCCAGTTGATGCCGCTCTCAAACAGGCTGTAAGCAGAGGGTACCCTGTCAGTGGGAGCCCCGCCTCCCTCGCCCACACCTTCCCATGCCCTTTTCCCAGACAGAAAGCTAAATGGCTCAGCTGTGAATCAAGGCAGCAGAGGCTGCCTCAATCCAACCTCAATTTGGGAGGAGCCTGTGTGTCTGAGGAAGCTCAGGGGTGCCTGAGCCACCTGCTGCTGCTGCAGGGTGTACCCTGCTAGGCTGTGGGTGCTAAGAGGTGCAAAGAGTAGAACTTGAAGGCAGAGGTTACCTGTGGGCCTCGTTGCTGGCCTGGCAGCCCGTGGCATGGCAGAGAGAAGAAGAGGACAGAAGAGGTTAGGATAGGTCCCGGAACCACCGCGGAGTAGGGCGTGGGCCTCAGAGGATGTGGTCTGGACATGGCTGGCCCAAGTGCTGATTCGGACTCTGCCTTCACCTGCAGCTGCTGTCAGACCACAAGCCTGACCCTCTAGCTCAGGTAGTAACAAGGAGACTGCCAGCGGCGGGGTGGACCCTGATTTGCAGACAAAGAGGCTGCAGGCCAGGAGGAAGCTTCACCAATGCAGGGCATGGCAGGGCAGGGCAGGGCAGGGCCAGGCTCAGGCCCCAGACCTGTGGTCTCTCTGACCACCACACTAGGTTACCCCTTGGATGCCAGGTTACAGAAGCAAGGATGCACTTCCAGGGCCAGCAGGTCAGCAGCCTTCTGATCTCTGGTGTGTCCATGCTGGGGTATACTGGGAGCACCCCACCCTGGCTCCTTCTGGAGTCCTAAGCTAAGCAGCCAGGTCCTCGGTACCAGAGCTCAAAAGAGGAGTCTGGGATGCAGAGAAAGAGAGAGGCAGGGCAAGTGTTCACTGGGAGTTAGCCGCAGCCCCTAGGACAGCTCATCTGTGACAGAGGTGGTGTCCCCACCGAGGAGGGGCCCTCCCATAGGCTGGACAGAGCCCAGAGGTGGGGCCTGCGGGCTACCTCGAGGCTATCTTGATGAACAGCTCGTAGGCATTCTCCGCTGTGGGCTGCAGCTTCTCCAGAATGCTCTGGAAGTCCGCATCATAGCGCTGGTGGATGTCGTCCCCGATGAAGGCAAGCTGTCGCCCCACCTGCGCCGTCATGCTGGAGGTGTGGGAGGCAGGTGGTCACCAGACAGCTGTGGCCTGGGAGCCCCGCCCCCACCCTGCCACTCCCTGCAGGTGCCGCAGTGTTCTTGGGCATGATAGCTGGGGTCAGGGACAAGGAGTGTGCCAAGGAAAGTACAAGGTCTGAGACGAGGTGGGGAGCACCAGATGTAAAATGGACGAGAGGAAAGGATCCCACCTCCACCTCCATCCTCCTGCCCCCAAGCCCCACCCTGGGAGCTGCAGAGATTCTATAGGAACCCCCACCTTTCCAAGGACAGTCCCTGGGGAGCCAGGGCACTGGAGCTCACCTGTTAGGTGCTGGGTACCAGGAGGCCATTTCGGGGTCAACAGGGGCAGCTGCCCCCTCGGTCTCCTGCTCCTGCTGGTGCCGGTAAAACACATAGCTGCGGAAAACCTCCTCTGAGTCCTGTGCTACCTGCTGCTCTGCGGGTCAAAGCCAGGGGTCAGTGCTGGGGAAGGACAGGAGGTGCTGGCAGGTGGGGCTCACTGCCCACGTGCTCCCAGAAAGGCGGGGTCCCTTGTTCTCTGCAGGACTGGGGACCTGAGCCAGGCTGTGATCCCAGGTGTCTGGGTTCCTGCATTCTGTGGGATTTAGGGACTACAGAAAACAAAATAAAACTTGGGTCTTTAGCCCAGGAAAGTCACACAGGCACACAACGACAGAGCCGGTAGGCCATGGAACTGCCTGTGACTGAGCTTGGGCCTTGCTGCCGTCCACTCAGAACAGGGAAGGCAGGCACAGCCATTGCTCCCTGTGCGGCAGACTTGCCCACGTGAGGAGCGGCCCACTTCCTTGTTTCTCCTTGGGCAGGGATCATAGAACAGCCAGCTCCCTTCCTTCCCCTTCCGCTGGCCTCCGTGCCTTGCCCTCTGATTTCTCTCTATCCAAAAGGCCTAACTTTGACTGCAGCACCTGCTCTCCCGTTCCCTGGCCAGCGAGGGATAGGACGGGGATGCAGAAGACCCTTACCGGAATTGTGGGGCTGTGAAGGCTCATCGCACCCCTCGCTGGGTGGGCCTGGGCCTTGCCCGGATGCCATTGTTCAGGCCTCAGTGGAAGACAGGGTCAGCCTGTGGGGATGGGTGAGAGACATCTAAGGTGGGGAGAGGGCACCCCAGAGAAGGCTGGAGATTCCCTGTCCCAGGGACCCTACTGTCTTCTGGGCTGTCCCCACCCTTCCATCTTCACTTTTTATTTTTTTCCTTTTTTGTTTGAAAGGCAGAAAGAGTGAGGTAGACCAGCTGATTTCCTACCCATTGGCTCACTCTCCAAATGCCCACAATAGCTAGGTGTGGGCCAGAACAAAGCCAGGGACTCCATCCGAGTCTCCTAGTGGGTGGCAAGTGGTTCAAGTACTTGGACCATCTTCCACTGTCCTCCCATTGCAAGTGACAGCTTAGTCCCCTGCACCATGTCGGTCCCTCTTTTTAAAAAATTTTTTCTATAGAAAATAATTGAGAGAAAAACAAGACAAAGATCTTCTAGGAGCAGGTTCACTTCCCAGATGTCCATAGCAGTCAGGGGCTCGCCCAAGTCAAAGCTGGGAGCCAGGAACTCCATCAGGTCTCTCACACTGCCTCCCAGAAAGACCCCCGCTGCCTTCCAGGGACACATCAGCAGGCAGCTGGAAGGGGAATCACCCAGGCACTGATACATGAGATGTGGGTATGCCAGGCGGCGCTGCCAAGCCCCTGTCCCTGGGACTTCTCATGCCATCTCCTTGGGTCCCCGTGGTGTCAGCACCAGCAAAGGGAGCTTGTGCAGCATGTCACACACTCCCCATCGAGGCAGCCAGGGTTGCAAAGGGGAGGCAACAAGGACAACCGCCATTGGAGGCCAGCGGCCGGGACCTCCTGGAGGTGTGGCCGTGACGGCACGGGCCAGCTCCAGAGGCCAGCTCCACCCAGCACCTGCCTACCACAGGTGGTCACCGAAGGCCTCACTTCCTCTGAGCAGGTCAGAGCACAGCTCTCTTCCAGCCCAGGCCCCTTGGCCGGGCACATCTACTGAGAGCCTCTGGTGTGTGGCTACCACGTCGGAGCGCTGTCCACGTGTGCCGTGTTGAGAACCCACGTTAGCCCAGTGAGGTGGACATCCCCACAGCCGTGTTACAAGTGGGAAAAATGAAGTACACAGATGCTGGTGCCCGAGGCCGCCGAGCTCGTAGGGCAGTTAGGTCAACCATGCAAATATTTAGGTGGCCACGCAGAAGGGGAACTCTCAGAGGGCCTTGGTGGGAGGTTCTTCATGTTCACCAACTGCCTGTGCCCTCCCCACTCCTGCCTTGGAGCCCCTCTAACCTGCTTCACATCATGTCCCCAGGGCCCCAAGCCATGTACCCCAGCTTCTTACCATATGGGGGTGTACCCCAGCTTTACCACTTACTCCAACCTCTGACCTCACATCACTGTCCCCTGGGCCCTATGTACCCCAACCCCACACCTTATTCCAGACCTCCCACCATGTACCCTGGCCTCACACCGGCTCTCCTGTCCCCAGCTGGGTTTTTCTCGGTACCTGGTCCTGGGTGCTGCGCTGTTCCGCTGGAGCCCAGGCGGAAGGAGTGCTTCCTGGCCCTGTTGCGTTTCACTTTCAGTTTATACTCTTGGTGCTGCAGCCCTGTCTCCCCACAACTGCCTCCATCAGTACGACAGAAGTACCCCCTCTTCCTAGCCCTGGGGAGGGAGTCACCCACCTTCGACCAAGACCAGCAGCCTCCCAATCGCCTCCCCTCCTGAGTCTAGAAAGTGTCACCCCCACCCCATCCACCCACCTTCCTCTCCATCCAGCAGCATTCTGAAAGCTCCCCAGGTGCCCTGTGAAGGGGAGGGGGAGCGCTGGGCCACCTGTGTCCCCCAGCTCCCCAGCCTTCACCCTCTTAGCGGCAGGGACAGCCTCAGACCCACCTTCCTGTCCCTCACCTCTGACAGCCAGGCTTGTGTAGCCTGGCACAGCCCCTCCTCCCTGGCAGCTCCTTGCCACACCACATGGCCATCCCTCTCCCTTCCTCCCCAAATCCCAGCACCTGGGGGCAAGATGCGGCCCGGCCCCTCTTACACCTCCTCAGAGGCTCACTCTTGGGGGCGCAAGCCGAGCTCAGCAGAGCCCCCAGCCAGTGGCCTGTACCACACCGGACCTCCCCTGCCCACACCCAAATGGCTCCATTTTCTATAAGAGCAAACGGTTTGCCACCCCCAAGCCCCCACCCCAACCTTCTGTGCCCAAGACGGGTACTCCTCAGGGAGACGGGCCTGGATGGGCCTCAGACCCGGTCTAGGGATCCTCGGGCAGTGGAAGCCCTGAGTTTTCCGCTTGTCCTTGACCTTGGCTCTGTCCTCTGCTCCCCATCTCCTGGACTGCTGAAAGCCCTAGATTTCTCATCCAGGGAGCCAAGGCCAGAGAGGAAGCTGGCGGGCAGGGGGACAAAGCCAGAGGGAGCGCGGGCGAAAACAGGCCCTGCAAAGCGCTGCACAACTGCCCCGGCAAACCTTACAGCCTCCACAGACCCGGCTCCCGCCAGCCTCCCGGGTGGGCTTCCTGCCCCGCCCTGGGGCCCCTGAAGCTGCTAAGTTAGGGAAACTGGGGCAACCCTCCCAAGCTTACCCGTCGGGACTCGGGCCAAAGCCTCAGATCCTGAGGGACGGCTGGCTGCTCTCAGGGCCAGGGGCGCCCCAGCTTCCAGGAGTAGTAGGCGTCAGGGAATTCCCCACGCAGCCTCTGCCGACCCGGCGCGGCCCCAGGAACCCACAGGCTCTAGCGACCATAGAGGTGCCGGCTGCTTCGACAGCAATCAGCTCCCTCTAGAGGACGCAAAAGCCAGCGGCCCAGAAGGAAGGCCAGGGACTGGGAGGCAGAGGGGAGGGGACCAGGCAGCAGCCCACACACCAGCAAAAACAGGCTGTCCCTCGCCCACCTCTGCCTGAAAAACCAACCTTTGTGCTGGAACTTTCTCCACTTTCATCAACCAAAGACACAGGATGGCCAAGTTTCCCAACTGTTGCATACCTTATCAACCTTTGTCTTGTTGATCCAGTCAATTTGGATTGCTTCAATGACTCCCGGAAGTAGGTGCTGTGGACCACACCCATTGCACAGATGAGCAAGTCGAATCCCAGACTTCTGGAGTTCGCTTGGTGATCAAATCTGGAGATGGGGAGTGATAATACCACATTGAAGTTCAGCCGGAACTTTAGACTTGTGCACCAGAACTCTGGTGGTCCCTTGAGACTGGAAACCCCAAAGGAGGCAGGTGGGTAAGCAGAGATGAAAACGTGGTGGCAGGTCAAGCCGCCATTGGCAACACTTGCATCCCACATCAGCGCACGGGTTTGAGTCCTGGATGCTCCACTTTCCTATCCAGCTCCCTGCTAATGTACCTGGGAAAGAAGCAGAGAGGGGCCCAAGTGCTTGGGCCCCTGCACCCATGAGGGAGCAGCAGGAGAAGCTCCTGGCTGTGGCCGAGCCCAGCTCTGGCTGTTGTGTTCATTTGTCAAGTGAATTAGGGAATGATAGAGCTGTGTGTGTCTTCCCCTCTCTATAGCTCTGCCTTTCAAATAAATAAATCTTTAAAACACACACACACACACACACACACACACACACAGCAGTGCTAGGTCAAGATGCTGCTTGGGATGCTAACATCCCCATCAGGTGCCAGAGTTCAAGTTCTAGTGCCACTTCCTGTCTCAGTGGCAGCCGGTGATGCCTCTGCCATCCACGTGGATGAAGGGGCTGGAGTTCTGGGCTCCATCCGGCCTCGGGGAGCCAGACCCAGCCTGATGCAAGATGCTGTTTGTCTTTCTCTGTCTGTCTGCCTTCTAAACCAAACGAGACCTGCAGATACCCTGGCAGCTGCATTCTTTGAGGGCAAGAAGGGGGAGGGGACTTGTTTTCAGGCCTTGGGAATGTTCCCCGGGACAGAAGGGTACAGAGTGCCCAGCCCCGCGCTTGGGGTCCAGGTCCCTCCTGGCTGTCTCCTCCACTCCCTCCCAGGCCCTCCTGGAGCTGCCTCTGCCTTTAACTCTCCCCTCCCCCAATCTGGTCTTGGCCTTCTAGAACCTCCAGAGGTTTAATCTGAAAACTCCTTCAACAGTTGGTCCTAAGGTGGCTGCCCTGGCTTCCCACCCTGGGTCAGGGGCTCCTCCCCTGATGGAGGCCCCAGCCCCAACCCCTCAACCACGGATTCTGGGCCGCAGGCCCATGTTCCGGTTTTTCCGTAGTTTGGCCAGCAGCAAGGGCAGCAGGAGGAGCCCCAGACAGGCTCCTGTACAGGATCAGGGGGCCAGCCCCCTGATGGTGGGCTGCCAGGGAGGCAGAGGGAGGGAGCCAGGGCCAACGGCCACCCTTCCCAGCACCCTGTCTGTGGCTAGGCCCCAGGGTTTCACACATCTGCCAGGGAATAACCCTTTGGGGTTGGCCATGGAAGACATGAGAGCCCAGACCCCTGACCCCAAGGAGGTCCTGAGGGTGGCAGCCCAGGCTGTGGAGGCGGTGCTAGCCCTGCCCACGGGGAGCCAGGGAGTGCTGGACAACCTATCCAAAGAGGGGCAGGAAAAGGAGCAGCCAGCAGGGGAGACCCCCGGAGACATGGTGGCCCCATACAGGTGAGGGGCACCAGAGGGTAGAAGTGGAGACCCTAGGTGGGGTGGTAGCACCTGGGTGAAAGCCGGGGATGAAGCTACCCTGGCTGGGACTTCCCGAGTGGAAAAAAGGCTAAAAGGCACCTGAGTGGGAAGGGCAGGGGCATGGGAGTGTGGGTGAGACTCAAAAGGCAGGTGAGAGGACCCTGGATGCTGGAAAGGAACAGTGCCAGGCCAGGCTAGGCCCCAATGCCTCCCCAGTGCCCGCAGCTCCTCTTCCAGACCCTGCCCTTGCCATTCTCTCTCCCCTAGGTACCCCTCTCTCTGCCTCCAGCCTTCTTCAGGCTGCTCTGGGGAAGCATAGCTGCCCCCATGATAAAGACCCAAGGAGGCACAGCATGGGGTGGGGGGAGAGGGTGGGTGGAAGCCACGCAGCAGGCTGCCCCTACTCCCTGACTGTGCTGTGGAATTAGGAGCTGCTTGGCCTGGGCCCTGGAACTGGAGCCAGAATACCTGCAAGGGGCTTGGGGGCCAGCGGAGGACTGCACAGAGGACGAGGAGAAGGACCACCTGCTAGACGGTGAGTAAGGTGGGGGCGGGGGTGGGCACAGGGCAGGCACTGCCAGGGACCTTCTCCCTCCTGAGCTTCTTTTTATTATTATTATTATTTTGATGATCTTTACATGGTTGATTAGGATGCAAGGGTCAAGGGCTGCGGGAAAGTGGGTAAGACCATTGTTTCCACATTCTCCTTTTTTCAGTGTAAAAAAAAGGGGGGAAGGGGGGAGATAAAGGGAGAAGCCCCACCCATCCTCCCAACCAACCCCCTCCTGGCTTCCTAGAGATGGCGGCGCACAGCGTGGAGGTTGGGGGGAGGGCGGTGCTGTAGTCAGAGGGCCTGAGTCCGAATCCCAACTCCACCACTCCCACGGAGCAGGGCGACAACGGCACTTGGCACCTTGCCTGACCTGAGTGTCTTCACCTATGAAACAGTAACAGTTGGCACCTGTCTAGACAGGAGGACAGTTGCAAGGACTGGTGGAGATGCCCTTTGTAAACTGACCAGCACTGCGGAAACTGGGCAACCCCACCTGCGGCTCGGCACCCTCCACGTCCCTGGCCTGCAGCCTTCCGCTGGGCACCCATCAGCCTCCTCTCCCCCTGCGCAGATGACCCCGGCCTGGCCTCTTCCAAGGCGGGGCTGACACCCTGGAACCACCTCCTGCGTCTGTACAAGCAGCTTCAGAGATCAGCCATGGTCAATGTCTGCTGTGGGGCTGAGGTCGGCTGCAGGGATGGGGTGTCTCATGTGCAGGTGACCTGGGCCCAGGAGGGCAGTCCCTTTCCCAGACCTTTATAAAGCTTTTCCTGTTCCTCTTCCTGTTTCCCTGGGGAGGGTGGGCCAGGGACTGCTGCTGCACAGCCTGGCTCTTGTCCTTGGCTCAGGGACCTAGCACACCCTGTTTTCCTTCTAAGGAAGCCCTGCTCCGTGAGGAAGAGGAAATGGAGGACGAGAACAGCTCCCTCCAGCTCTGTGTCCCACGCATCGTCACCCTACAGTCGCCACTGAGGAAGGCTTTTCGGCTCACCGACACAGTGGGTAAATGCCTGGACCCTTTTCCTGCCAAGCTTACCCCACTTTGGCCAGGGGCTCAGGGGTGCAACCCCGGATCCTACCACCAGGTGGCAGCAGAGGCCTACGATGACTGCGGAGAGGGTCGCCCCCACCCGCGGTCCTCCAGGAATTCCGTTTGGGAGGCCTGCAGGCGGGGACTATAAGCGGTGGGACCCCACAGTGGCCACCTGCTGTCCTGGCTCTCCATCGTAAACCTCTGTGATGGAGGCCCAGACAGGAAGCGTAGTTGATTTTGATGGTTAAGACTTTTCAGCCCCTCTCCTAAAAGATTGCATTACTTTTGGGGGCAGCCCATTGTCTCCAGGTACGGGGAGAAAGCCCAGGCACAAAGCGGTTAGACAGGGCATCCAGAGGAGCGTAGCTGTGACTTCGTTGCCCGCGGTTTGGGCTCTAGAACCAGGCTTTAGGAGGGATGCTCAATGACTACTCCAAACTCCTCCCCAAGGGCATAA